GTTTTCTGTACTGACAATTGTATCATCTGTTAATCAAGACAATTTTACATTTTCTCCTTCATCTTCACAAAATGGCCTTATTTGCTCTGAAATCTACTTTGGTTGATTTAATATGGCCACTCCAGCTTTCAAATAGTGCTAACATGATATATATTTTTCTGTCTTCTTAGCTTTAATTATTTGTGATTTTATATTAAAGTATATGGACAGCAAGACCCAATTGGTCTTGTTTTTTTCCTGCAAAATGACAGTCTCTGCCTTTGATTCGGGTGTTTAGACTATTTACATTTGATGTGGTTATTAGTATGGCTATTCGTGTTTTGTCCCAGCAATACTATATTCCCATTTGTCTTTTCTTTCAGCTCACTCTTGGATTATTTTTTATTTTTCCATTTTATCTTTATTATCATAGCTTGTTTTCAAGTGTTATTATACCAGTTTGCTAATAGTAAGAGAACATTACAGCAGCATACTTCTATTTCTCCTTTCCAGGCCTTATAATATTGTAGCTGTGAATTTTTCTTTCACACATGTTATAAACCTCACAAGGAATTATTGTTTTTGTTTAAATAACTGATTATCTTTTAAGAGATTAAACAGTAAGAAAACCTAATCTATTTAAGGCTACTGTGGTTACCACTTTATTCCTTTGTGTACATTCATGTTTCCAGCTGCTATCATTTTCTTACTGCCTAAAGGATTTCCTTTGACATTTATAGTGTGGGTGTTGTAGTATAGCGATGACTTCTTTCACCTTATTTCGTCTGAAAATATCCTATGTTACTTTTGCTCTTGAAATATATTTTACATTTGATAGAATTCTATGTTGATAATTTTACGACTTTTGGAAGGAAAAACTGCTCTTACATAAATATACATTTTTTAGTGTATGTTGAGTTCATTAAAGCTTTTTGCCTTTTGAAGCTCAGCAAATCTTGGCTTTCTCAAAAAACTATTCTTCAACAATAGAGAAGCATGCCCTTTTATGTTGTTTATGCTAAGGCCTTTAGAAGTCTAATTTGACTAAAGCTGAATTGTCACTTTTTTGTGTTTTGTTGTCTTTAATGGTATAGAAAGAGTTATGGGTTCAAGGAAGCAGGAGGAAGAAAAGAGTTCCGATAATATCTCAAGATATTATCCTCTGTAGTTTTTTAATTCTGTGGATTTCCATAGCACTTAGTACTTATCTTTATTAGCACTTCATATTCTACTGTGAATTCTTTATATCTTCAATACTTAGAGGAGTGTTTGATGCATGTGTGAATAGTTTATTTTTAGTAGCAACCAGACTCTATACCAGTGAAGCTGACTTCTGGGCTAATTATTTTTATATAAAAAGATTGACAGGCATCTTGCTAGGAAATTTTTCCAGTAAGATGGTAGTAAAATGAAGTAAAAAGTTAAAAAATATTTTTTCCTTCATAAGAGACTTTAAGAAGGATGTTACTGTTTAAATATACTACCTAGACAAGATTGCCATTCCTGTGCCCATCTGCAGTTTATAAATATATCATGCTCATGTTTGAGCATGGCTGTGTTCCTTTATATACCTATCTGATTTACTAGATCTTCTGAGTCTTGAGCAGTGTCAGCACTTAAGGGACATTCTGTAAATGTTTGTTGGATGAATGGGCAGATGAATATCTAATTGGTTCCTTGAATTTTTTTTTACTGATTATATCATAAGCATTTTTCTCTATTATTGAAACTTTTGTAGACATTTTAAATAGGAACATAGTACTTTATTGTCTGGATAGGTCACACTTTATATAACTATTCCCCAGTTATTTCACTTGTAGATTATCTAGCTTTTCACTGTTCTAAGAATGTGATAAACAGATAGCTTTGTGTGCAAGACTTCCCTGTGCTTGATTATTCCTATAGAATTATTTTCAAAGCATTTTAAATGCTGCTAATAATTTTGTATATTGCTTTCATAAAAGTTGTATCAGTTTAATTTTACCCTTACTATATAAATGTGGCTGTCTTGCCATAGTTTCTCTAGTATTGATTAGTTCCATTTTTAAAATCCCAACTAATGAGATTGGTTAAAATGGTATCTTTCTATCTGATCAACATGAAGCTAAGTATTTTTCTCAAATATTTGTAAACTAAGTATATTTATTCTTTTGGGAAGAGAACTAGCCCTATTTCCTGCCTATGTATACATAAGACCAGTGTGAATACTGTTTTTGTTCATACATATTAATACATATTTAAACTTTTTATATGGCAGATTTCAAGTAAAACTGATTGCCCCAAAGTTTGGATATATTAGTTGAATTATTCACTTTAACTTTAATATTAAAAATGTTCACAATTTAAAAAATCATTAAAAGATGTAGAATTGCATATTTTAAAATAGTGTTTAAAATATATATTTTGTGAAAACATGTAGACAGTTGCTTAGAAGTGAGAACGGGCAGTTAAATTTCTTGAGAATGTTAGGGTTATATGGAAAACTGTCAAAGGTACTCAGGAATCAGGCTGTGATCGGAGTGTGGGTAGAACACCAGGACGATGAAACCAGTCTATCCTAATAGAACATTCTTAACTCGGCTATCCTTGAAGAGCTGGTGTGGTATAAAAACAAATGTAAATCAGGAGTCTTCAATTCTAATCTAAACTCTGGAATTAGGCTACTTTGTGACCATTCACAAATTGCTTAATCTTAGGTACTCATGGCTAACTTTGTAACTAAACAAGGGCTCCTGTGCCCATGACTTGGCCCAGAAAGCCAAACTCTGATAATAAGTGTTTGCAGCAATGTTCTTGCTCAGTTACTCAGTCATGTCTGACTCCTTGCGACTGTTTGGACTATAGCCTGTTAGGCTCCTCTGTCCATGGGATTTTCAGGTAAGAATACTGGAGTGGGTTGCCATTTCCTCCTCCAGGGGATCTTTCCCACCCAGGGATCGAACCTACATCTCTTGCACCCCTCACATTGCACGTGGATTCTTTACCAGCTGAGCCATCCAGAGAAGCCTGTTTGCAATAAAGTGAAGGTTTATTTGCAGATCACCAAAATCTTTCAAGCTAGAACAGTCCGTGAACCAAGGAATTCCAGACGTACAAGCTGAATTTAGAAAAGGCAGAGGAACAGAGATCAAATTGCAAACATCTGTTGGATCATAGAAAAAACAAGAGAGTTTAAAAAAAAATCTACTGCTTCATTGACTACATGAAAACATTTGATTGTGTGGATCACAAAAAACTGTGGAAAATTCTTAAAGAGACGGGAATACCAGATCACCTGCCTCCCGAGAAACCTGTATACAGGTGAAGAAGCAACAGTTTGAACTGGACATGGAACAACAGACTGGTTCCAGATAGGGAAAGGAGTACATCAAGGCTGTATATTGTTACCCTGATTATTTAACTTATATGCAATTATAGGCTATATATTGTCCCCCTGATTATTCAACATCATGCAAAATGCTGGGCTGGCTGACTCACAAGGTGGAATCAAGATTGTTGGGAGAAATATCAACAGTCTCAGATATGCAGATGACACCACTCTAATGTCAGAAAGCAAAGAGGAACTAAAGAGCCTCTTGATGAAAGTGAAAGAAGAGAGTGAAAAAGCTGGCTTAAAACTCAACATTCAAAAAACTAAGATCATGGCATCCAGTCCCATCACTTCATGGGTAAGAAGTGGGGAAAACTGGAAACAGTGGCAGATTTTATTTTCTTGGGTCCAAAATCTCTCTGGACTGTGACTACAGCCAGGAAATTAAAAGTCACTTGCTCCTTGGAAGAAAAGCTATGACAAACCTAGACAGTGTATTAAAAAGCAGAGACATTACTTTGCCAAAAAGGTCTATGTAGTCAGAGCTATGTGTTTTCCAGTAGTCATGTACAGATGTGAGAGTTGGACCATGAATAAGGCTGAGCATCGAAGAATTGATGCTTTCAAATTGTGGTGCTGGGGAAGACTCTTGAGAGGAGAGCAAGGAGATCAAACCAGTCAAACCTAAAGGAAATCATCCCTGAATATTCATTGGAAGGAGTGATGCTGAAGCGGAAGCCCTGATATTTTGGCCACTTGATGCAAAGAGCTGACTCATTGGAAAAGACCCTGATGCTGGGAAGGATTGAGGACAGGAGGAGAAGGGGCTGACAAAGGATGAGATGGTTGGATGGCATCACTGACTCAATGGACATGAGTTTGAGCAAACTTCAGGAGATAGTGAAGGATAAGGAGACCTGGCACGTTGCAGTTCATGAGTTTTCAGAGTCAGACACGACTTAGAGGCTGAACAACAAGAAAGGGAGTGGGAGACAAATCTCTGATCCATCTTGGTCTTTGACTTAGGGATGTCTTGAAGGGGAAAAACAGAGAAACTGGAAGTGATTATTGTCTTATGACATTTTATAATCATGGTATTGGGAGTAAGAATGTGTCTGGTTTATGATTTTCTGGGCAGGTGGTCCATGGCTTGGGGGTCTGTGAGCTCATCTTGCCTGGAAAAACAGCCTGAGTTTGTATGTTAATGATGGTATCTACAGTAGCAGTTTCAGTGCAGTAAAGATGTTATCAACAATAGCAATCTCAGTCATCTGACTTTAATTACTGTTCAGTTAGCATAGAATTGAGGGGACAAGAAAGGGATTGAGGTCAGAGGAGACAAGTAAAGGAATAAAGTATTAGATAGAGAGATTAATCCTAAACTCAGTAAGGGAATGCTGTTTTAGGGGGTCTTGATTTCAATATTATTAAGTTCTCTCCAACTCTAAAAATGTCTGTTTTTATTATCCAGAGGACAAAATGCTATTTTTGTGAATCTAGTGCTATTGTTGCAGATAGCTGCAAATAGGTCTGGAAAACAATTCATTCTTTATAGGAAATTTTTGAGGAGAATAATAGGAAAATTCCCCATAGGAGCTGAATTTTTTAGGGAAAAGTCAATCCCAAATCCTAGATTATGTTCTTTTGATATGTTAAAAATGGTAAAATTAAGCTACTTTTATGCTACGTTGCCTCAGCCAGAAAACTGTATATGCAGTGTTTTCTCTTTCAATATTGCCAAACAGGTTGGATAAATTTAAAGAGTACGGGTAATTCCTAGAAATGGCAGGGACCCAACAGAAGCAGAAGATGTTCATAAGAGGTGGCAAGAATACACAGAAGAACTGTACAAAAAGATCTTAATGACTTAGATTACCATGATGGTGTGATCACTCATCTAGAGCCAGACATCCTGGAGTGAGAAGTCAAGTGGGCCTTAGAAAGCATCATTATAAACAAAGCTAGAGGAGCTGATGAAATTCCAGCTGAGCTATTTCAAATCCTAAAAGATGCTTCTGCTAAAGTGCTGCACTCTATATGCCAGCAAATTTGGAAAACTCGGCAGTGGCCACAGGACAGGAAAAGGCCAGTTTTCACTTCAACCCCAAAGAAAGGCAATGCCAAAGATTGTTCAGACTACCACACAATTGCACTCATCTCACATGCTAGCAAAATAATGCTCAAAATTCTCCAAGCTAGGCTTCAACAGTACATGAAGCAAGAACTTTCAGATGTTCAAACTGGATTTAGAAAAGGCGGAGTAACCAGAGATCAAATTGCAAACATCCGTTAGATCATAGAAAAAGAAGAGAATTCCAGAAAAACATCTACTTCTGCTTCATTGAAGACGCTAAAGCCTTTGTGTGGATCACAACAAACTGTGGAAAATTCTTAAAGAGATGGGAATACCAGATCACCTTACCTGAGAAATGTGTATGCAGGTCAAGAAGCAACAGTTAGAACCAGATGTGGAACAACGGACTGGTTCCAAACCGGGAAAAGAGTATGTCAAGGCTGTATCTTGTCACCCTGCTTATTTAACTTATATGCAGAGTACCTCATGCAAAATGCCCGGCTAGATGAAGCACAAGCTGGAATCAAGATTGCCGGGAGAAATATCAATAACCTCAGATACACAGATGAAACCACCCTTATGGCAGAAAGCTAAGAGGAACTAAAGAGCTTCTTGATTAGAGTGAAAGAGGGGAGTGTAAACGCTGGCATAAAACTCAACATTCAGAAAACTAAGATCATGGCATCCAGTCCCATCATTTCATGGCAAATAGATGGGGAAACAATGGAAACAGTGACAGACTTCATTTTTTTGGGCTCCAAAATCACTGCAGATGGTGATTGCAGCCATGAAATTAAAAGATGCTTGCTCCTTGGAAGAGAAGCTATGACCAACCTAGACAGCATATCAAAAAGCAGAGAAATTACTTTGCTAACAAAGGTCTGTATAGGCAGAGCTATGGTTTTTCCATTAGTCATGTATTGATGTGAGAGTTGGACCATAAAGAAGGCTGAACCCTGAAGAACTGATGCTTTTGAACTGTGGTGTTGGAGAAGACTCTTGAGAGTCCCTTGGACTGCAAGGAGATCAAACCAGTCAATCATAAAGAAAATCAATCCTGAATATTCTTTGGAAGGACTGATGCTGAAGCTGAAGCTCCAATATTTTGGCCACCTGATGTGAAGAACTGACTCATTTGAAAAAACCTGATGCTGGGAAAGATTGAAGGCAGGAGAGAAAGGGCTAACAGAGGATGAGATGGTTGGATGGCATCACCTGCTCAGTGGACATGAGTTTGAGCAAGCTCTGGGAAATGCGCAAGGACAAGGAAGGCTGGCGTGCTGCAGCCCATGGTATCGCAAAGAGTCGGACATGACTGAGCAACCGAATAACAACAACAACACATGGAATTTCTTAAGCCTGACTATTGTCTAAAAAAGGGATTACTCAGGGAGAAAAATTAGCTAGCTGCACAAATCTTCCAGGATTTTAAGAGAAGTTATTAGGCATTCATAGCCTTGAGCGAATAAACTGGGTTAGTTAAAAGTCACAACTGAATGTTAGCCCTTGTCTTGCCTGAGAAAGCTGGTATGGGCAGTTTCTAAACCAAGAGAATCTGACTGTTCTGTGTTCGATTTGTTAGGTCTGGCTCAGTGTGCTGAACTCTGCGGGCAGCTGAGAGGGGAAGCCGGAAAAAGGCAAGTTCCCGGTGCAAAGATTGCTCTGCGGCATAATACTGGCATTGGAGGAGTTGCCGTTCTCACGCTGTACAAGATGGGCTTTCCTGAAGCTGCCAGGTAAGTGGCATTCTAGTTTTGTCAGGCAATGAACCCTTCTAATTTTTCACAAGCAATGACGTTGTACATGTTAAAAAAAAAAAAAGAAAAAGTCCTGCTTTTGTTGTCTCAGTACTCAAAGAACAAGTATCTCATTACCCTTGCTTTAATAGCATGGATTCAAAACTTTAAAGATGGCAATTAACTTCCAAACTTAACCAGCCTTAGGAAAATTTTATTCAAAAAGGAGGCAGCATAGTCAAAAGAGAATGTTGAACCAGAAGCCAGAGCTGGCTGGACACTTATCTCAGCCTTGCCAACCTGAGTAATTTTAATTTAGACAAGTCATTTTTGGTTTCCTTTCCCACAACCTATTTTCTCCCCATGGTGTCCCAGGCTTCTGAGGTTGTTTGGAGAAAGTCCTCAAATATGCTGATTGTATCTCTGCAGATTTATGCTTATGAATCCAGCTAAGCCCTCACTGCTGCCAGATTCCCGCTACACTCCTTCTTACTCACCTCTTGCTGACTTACTTCCTGCCCTTGTCAAATGCCTGTGTTCCTCAAATATCCAAATACTTTTTTCCCAAGCTTTTTCAGGATCCCTCAACTTCCTTACTCTTCTCTCAGAGAAGTGCTTATCCTCTTAGAGAAGGAAAAAGCCCCTTTTCCTTTCCAAGGCACAGCTTTTCTTTGCTTCCTTTTGTTTCCAGTCATTTTCTGTAACTTTGTTCCAAATAATAAGTATACCCTCCTTTTTTTTGACTCTTTTCCTTGTTGCCTTTCTATTGACTCCTTTCCCTCTGTCAGCAAGCAAGTTCAGCTCTTCAAATCTTCTGTGTTCTAAAGCTCTGTTTTTCTCCCTACCTTAATTACTTTTTTTTTTTTTCATGATGAGCCTTTTATATTTAGCCACTTTTGTTTCTACTCTGAAATGTCTTTAGTTTCTTATCCCACCATTGAGATCAGGCAAGGCCATCAATGGTCTGATTATATATGTTCTTGTTTTTATTTTCCATCTTCATTCTCTTTAACCTTGTGGTAACTTTCAACACTAATTGGGAAATTCCTTAGCCAAGGCTCTAAGTTCTGCCCAAGTCCAGAGACAGAGTGCTAGCAGCCTTTTATAATTTATAAGCTTCTAGATTCCAGTCAAAATAAGCATTCCTTTCAGTCTGTTTGATCTTACCATCAGGTTTTTCTAACAGTGTACACAAAAATAACAGTTTTGAAATATCAGAAAAACCCCAATTTGGCCATTTTAGATTGATATTTCCTTTAGTATAGTTTTCCTAATTAAGTACTCGCAAACATGAGCTCCATACGTATTGTACATGAATCTGGCTGGGGTGTTAGTGGGAGGTTTAGCTAGCATAAAACCTGATAGCACTGTCTCTGACTTTCTCCCACTCTGCCCTGCCAGCATCCTCTTCTATCAAAATTGCCTGGCCAAGATGCTATCTCTTTTTCTCTTCCAAATCTTCTGCCCCCTGCTGCCCTCTCCTTCCCAGTAAAGAAAATAAAAAATGAATCAGAAGTATTTGTGATTCCCTTTAAGGAGAATCCTATTACAGGGAGGGGTGAATTGTCCTTGGTACTTAGATACACACCCTGGACCCAAGTAGAATATAGAGCCTTGGTTAAGGAATTTCCCAATTCAAGTCAGGATCCATTGGGATTTGCTAAGGAGATTGAGTTAAATATCCAGACCTATGAGCCAGGGTTTTCAGATCTATATCAATTAATACAGCTTTTAGTTTCTAAGGCAAAGCAAGGAGTGGATAAAGAAAGCAGAATGGGAACACCCCCTTAATGGATTTTGAATCAAAGGCTCACACTGTATGCAAGGAATTAGCTCAGAAATTATTCGAACTTATTCCAGAACTTTCCCCCAAACCCATTGATTGGACAAAGACTCAACAGTGCAAGCAAAGATCGGATGAATTAATTCTGGACTATTATGAAAAGTTTGAAAAAAAATAAGCAGTATTCTGGCTTGAGACCTGAATAATTCTCTAACCAACAAAATGATCTGCTTGACTCCACCTTTTTAGAAGGCTTTGATGAGGATTTAGCTAGTCTAGTCAAAAGACACAATCTAGATTGGTCCGAGTTACAATACATACCTTTGTTACTGGCTAACCAAATTTTCAAGACCATAAAAAAGAAATAAAAGGGGGTATCTATGAAAATGGAAGCCCTTCTATGAAAATTAAGAGTGTTCAATTGTGCCAATTAAATACACAATGCCAGTTGAAGGTTAACTGATCTCTGTTTAATTCCCAACCCCTAAAGAAAACTAGTTTGAAGGAAAAAAAAAAATCTTTTCAGAATTCTGGCCCTGAGGGAAAAAGTCCTACTAGGAAAACTTGATTTTCTCTCCCTGTGACTTTAGATCAGAGCTCTCAGAATCTGATTGAAGGGGAAAAAAAGGACAGAAAAAAAATTCCCTTTTAAATTTAGCTTATTCCATCTGCTACTTGTAGCTAGTGAGTTTTATATTGTGTATATTTATATTGTGATATCTGATTCATAACTAAGTTTAGAAAATGAAGTTAGCTATGAGATCTCTTGTTATGTCTGTCTATATGTTCATGTGTACATTATCTTTGCTTTTACCTTTGGATGATATTATCAAATTCATTGTCAATGAGCTCTACTTAACTGGAGTCAAGGAAATTAAGTCCTTAGATAAATTCTGAAAAGTATAGGAAGTAATTGGCCAGAATTAATTTCAGGTTCACATGAATTGGGAAATAGTATTGTTAATAAATTAATATCTGGTATTAATGTTTAAGTTTGTTGATCTAATTAATATAGACAGGACTTTAGAATCATCAACATTAAGTATACTTTGATTGTGCCTACGTTTGATAAAAGTTAAATAGAATCTTCTTGTATTCATAGCCAATTTGTCAGCAAAGGAAGTAACTTGATGTAAAGAAACTTTTAAGGAAAGAAAATGTAAATGAGATAAGAGCTTTTAGATAAACTCTATTAAAAATAATTATGCTTTTGGAATGTCTATCTAAAATAGTCTCTCCAGATTCTGGTAACTTGAAATTCTAGGTGCTAAATTAACTGATGGAAATTTATTGAATAGCTAGGTCATTCCCACATAAAATAAGGTACTGAAACATTAATTTCTGAACATTGGCTTCCTTTTACAGAGAAACTAAAGGCATTTAGGACTATTATTAATGAAAATTCTTGGTGCTATGCTCTTTATAAGAAAGAAAATGTTTTTAGAAATTATTACTGGTATTTATGTTCACCAATCTAAATAATCCTAATGTAAAGGACAATTCATAGGTGCTTACACCTTCAGTTTCATAAGAAATCAAGATTTTAAGATCTGAGACCTCTAATTTAAACATGTAATTAAAGCTGACAAAAACAATAAAGGGAACATTTTAGTATACAGTAGGAAAGTAGAATGTTTTCCGTAAAGAAGGTATGAGGAATGGAATTGCATTTTATTAAGGGAAAAGGAGGTAACCTATCCTGGTGGCTCAGTGGTTGAAGAATCTGCCTGCATTGCAGGAGACACAGGAGATGGGGGTTTGATCCCTTGGTTGGGAAGATTCTCCTGGAGGAAGAAATGGCAACCCACTCCAGTATTCTTGCCTGAAAAATCCTATAGACAGAATAGCCTGGCAGGGTACAATCCAAAAGGATCACAAAGAGTCAGACAGAACTGAGTGACCAAGCATATATAAGCACATGTGCAATGTAGCATAAGGGAAAAGGAGGTAGGTCTGACTTCGAGCTCGCTATCTCTGGATGGATAGAGAAAGTGATACAGTGATACACTGATGGATACAGAAAGTGATAAAAGGTTTGTGGAAAGTAGACCCTGAGAAAAGTTTTGTGTATGATCAGGATTAACTAAGTTTAAAATAAATTTAATTGAGTAAATGAATTTTAAAAGTAAATTGGTGAGAAACTTAAATCCAGCATTTTCTCTCTGCTAAGAAAACAAGTTTTCTTAAGATGTCAAACTGCCTTTGATAACAGATTTTAAGTTTCCCTACCTTTTAAGTGATCTGTTCTGTATTTATCTTTGAAATCTTTTACTGTTACTTTGATTAAGTGAGTAGCTGTTGTTTCACAGTGACCTGTGATCCTGTCCGTCTGAGTGTTCTAAACCCTCTTGATATTTATTGACAAAACTTCCTATATAAAATTCTAATGAAGTCCTCTTGATGTCTAGTCAACTTTAGGATGCTTCAGAATCTCCCTGAAACATCCTAAAGAGAGATATTCAACTAATTAGGTTCATTTGATATATTCAATTACATGGGAAGTATTATCAAATGAGTAATAAATCTTCTTAGGTTATTTTGTATGGTGGATATTACTAATATAGGTATTCTATAAATTTTATGAAATTCCTAAAGCTTGAAACCTAGTAAAATGTTGTCAGTCATAAATCTAGTCGTTATCTTAAAGTGTTATATGTCACATCTTATAACAGTTTGTCAACTGCATCATAATCAGATTTTAAACATGCCTTAAGTCTTTTATCATTATAGACAACTATGGTTTTATTCTAATACCTTTGCAAAAACGCTCCCTTTATAACAAGATGTATAGAATGGACTTCTGGATAATTAGAGTGTTCTGATTTTCAGACCTTAATGCTGAACTGGGTAAGAAATGAAAGATAATGGAAAACCTGATGACTTCATAAAATTGTTAGCAAAAAGGATTAGCTACATAGGACTTAGTGAACTGGTGAATATGGTTATAATTTTTATGGTTTGTACCTGAAAAATTACTGGCTTGAATATATATTTTCCAGGTAAAAGGAAAACGTTCCCCTCAAAATAATTATGACTTATAGCAATTTGGTAAGTTATACCTTTGTAAGCAGAATTTAAATATTATCTTTTCTGTCTATCTGCTCCCTCCAGAGACTGGAAACTCTTGGGTTCCCAGCAGCCTCATCAGATAAATTAGAAAGGCTACCTCACTAGCAGGTATAGAAACCTCCAGGTATTTTGGGAACCATGGAAAGGA